GAATATATGATCGATTCTTACAATCAACCACTTACAATTACATTTACGCAATTGTAGAATGGATTTCACGTGAAATGTGAGAAGCTTTACGAATTATTTGAACGAGCCGAATAGCGTCTCATCGCCATCTATTATCCATCTTTGTAACTAACAATTCTAGCATCAGTCGATGAGGCAAATTATAAAAATATCTTATGTAAAATATTTAAGATCGCATTATGTTTTCAAATACGAAAAAAATATTCTGAACAAGTCAAGAATGATAAATATCATGAAAAGTATTTATAAAGTAATGTATTTGCAAAATGATGCGTATTTTAATGCTCTTATTGATATTAATACGTTAAACGCACGGATTCACGTGTTTATTCTGCGAAGGATATTAAAAAATAGCACATTCACATAATATTCTAGCCACACAGCAAATATTTATTCTGTGCAAATATTCAGTAACGTAATAGAACGTAAATTGCATCTATTCATTTATTGCGTGTGCAAATATTTGATAAAAAAATCAACGCACGAAACATCCGTTTGACACGACATATGTATAAATCTCGTAATTGCCGAAAGTAGCGACATATAAATTGATATTAAAGTAGATGCATAAATAAAGATCACTCGCGAGACGGTCCCGAGCCTTGACACGTATGACGTGAGTAAACATGATGAAATGCGAACCAAAACCACACGCACATGAAAAATGCGTCTGCACGATATTATGTATCATAAAATAGCATTATGTTTACAGCGATGTGTATGATACGTGCCTCTAAAACCCTTTCTCGGAGGCGCAAGTGGTTTTAACGAACCTTTCCCTCGTCGTTCCACAAGCACAAATATGAACAACCGCCTTTATCGAAATATTATAAATAATAGTTGCTCAACACACAGAATATATATATATATATTAATATTTTCGATTATTAGGCGTAATTATGTATCCAACAATAATTTTAGTTTGTACATTTCGCCTTCATGTTTTTGAACCACAAAAATGGGGAACGTTGAATTATTTGATTTTGAAATGATTTTATAAAGCTAGAAATGTAATATTATTTGATAATCGATTTAATATTATTAATCAAGCAGCTTATAAACCTACAAGGAATTTATATTATTGTAATTTATATCGAATGCCATTGTCTGATAACGGTACCGTATACGTAGTAAATATTAAAAATACAGTTTCTGCATAAACGTGCGTTATGTTTCCTCAGCCAAACATTTTCCTGATTGGTGGATGGATATTTTAATCATAACATCAGGGGATTGAGTGCGGGAAAAGAGTGGGAAAAGGTAGTCGAGATTGTTCTTTATTTTCTGTCCATGCACGATAATTTCATTTACGCTGATAATTTTTGTTCCGGTGTATTTGCGCGATTTACCGACTTGACGATGAAAAATTAAGTCCCATTAATCACCGAGAGGCATACATTTTCAACCGGTTAGCGTTCCCGCGTCGGAATGCTCAACGATACGTCCCATTAAATTTGAACCCAGCCGCTCTGCTATCCCTGATTCTCTCGTTATACGGCGTTCGAAAAAAAAGAAAGAAAAAAAAGGAGATAAATCCGCGGCACGTTTCGCGGACTAGAGAGAGGAAGAGAGGAAAAGGGGGAATTAATCCCGAGACGATAATTCAACGGCGCGCTATCGGGAGAAGCTAACGTCAATCGCGAAGTTAATCGATGCGCCATGCGCCACTGATACAAGTACGGGATTGGCAGGTCGTCGGTTCCCCGTTCAGTCGAGAGATCATGAGATCGCTATTTTCCGGGTTTCGCAATATATTTGCGCGCGCGAGCACGCACGCCTGACCTCCGCCGATCACCGAACGGCGAATGCAATTCTTTGAAACTGAACGGAACGCACGTCGCACCCGCGTCGTTCAATCACGCACTGACTGCATGAACAAACAACAGAATGGGACATACATGTACGAGAGAGTGATACGTACCATATATCCGACCCGTATCGATTTCCCATTGTCCTCTCTTCAAATCTGAAATACATACGTAGCAGCGGCAGCAACGACGACGATGACGACCCTACAGGGATGCAAATGCGCGTTACAAGAGCTCTCGCCGGCGGGAACTGCAATTGCAGTTCTAAAAACCGACCGTTGCTTTGCAACGCGCCTGTTAGCGACCATACAAGGCTGTTGGAAAATATAAAATAATTCTCCGGACGCGACAGTTTGTTCGCTTATTTATATAATGATTTTATGTAACGAGGTGGACATAAATTTCTTTATTTTCGGAGATTTTTTTTCAAAATTATGGAAATTTTTCTGTCAACTTCTTCTTTTTTGTTCTTTTTTTGCCCTTTATGAATCGACCTCATTTGGTCTCACGTCACATACACTCTCTTTTATTTTATAACTTGCTCGTTCAATTTTTATGAAACTTGGTCTATAAGATAATGTGATAATGCTTTATTCAAATCTGAAGTCAAAAATAAACAATTTAAATAGTCCGTTTAATATGGCGGACAGAATTTTTTTAAAATATAGATATTAATTATTATAAAACTTGGTTTTGGAGAGTTTTCATTCATGAAGGATATAGAATATAGATATGCAACATCAAGTTTCCAGTGTTTCATTTTATTTAAAACTCAGTGCTACATAAACAATTAATACTGATTTTCGAATTGATTTTCTCAACTCTGATTATGAGTCCTCTGATGCTATTTTCTCCATGGAGGTTACTACACTTTTCGAAAAAAAAATCTGTATTTATTACATATTTGAGCTATACTTATTACGAATTCGATATTTCTTTTAGACTATATTCAAACGCAGAGATACCAAAAATCTTCTAAAACCGAGTTTCACGATAATCAGATTATTTTTTGAAATGTGAATTTAAAAATTCGAAGGCCAGAATCAAATTCAACGATCCCGAAAACTTTGAAAAGTAAGATCTTGATAATCTATAAGTTATTTTGTTAAAAAAAACTCCGGTTCTCAAAAGGATAATGAAATATATTTATACATGTGTAGATGAGAGGTCGACTATGAAAAATTTAAGTTCTAATTGAACTTAATGGGAGCTAATTTTTCATCAGCAAGCCAATTAATTGCGCAAATACGCCGGACAGAAATTACCTCGTAAATAAGATCATAAATGAAAGAGAAAATAGTAAATAAGTATGAATAGAAAAAAATTAAAATTCTGATCTTTTTGCATTACCTCACATACTTGCGAGGTAGTTTATAATAAATTCATAAAAATATTATAAACTTTATAATTTCATTTAATATTGCATATATTTTAAATAGAAACTAAAGATAACCATAATTATTGTATCGAATTTATAAAATCTCTCAACAGTCAGATTTTAATGTTGTCATACATTGCTTTCATTTTTGTAACTCAGGTTTGTCGTGACGATCAACTGTCTAAAGCGGCGATTTATTTGCCGATATAGCAGAATATATGACGGCTAAAAGCTTGACACACGTTTAATATATGTCGATTAATATTTGCGCATCTCGTTTACGTCTTCACAACGCGTTCGGTTTATAATTTAATAAACTATAAATGGATAAACGTCACGCGCGGACACGTCAGAGACGATTTCAACACGATTAGCAGAAAAGTCGCTTGAATAAAAGTACTATTGCTATTTTGTAACACGTAGATGCGTACATTTCTGTTCTGAGAAATCAATTTCAGTCTGCTATCCTGTTTCAACAAATGTGATTGATTTCTTAAAAATTAGATACCTATACCATTTTGATTTATATTTATTACAAGATATTATTCAGAGCTTGTCAAAATTAATGGATGAAAAAAATGTTTTCGAGAATATTTTTCGTATAAAAGAAACATATCACTGCATTGATAGAAGAATGACATCGCAAAATTAGCAACTTTTCAGTAAAACACTTCATAAATTCTGAACTGATAACGTTTCAATTAGAGTATTGAATATATTTTCCAGTTTATACTGTTTCCACAAGTATGATTGATTTATCAAAAATTACGTATCTTCTATTTTAATCTATATTACAAAATATCATTCGGAACTCGTCGAAATTGACGGATGAAAAATAAAATGTTTTCGAGAATATTTTCGTATAAGAGCGGAACATGCCTGTGTCTCTGTATTGATAAACAAAAATGGCATCTCTCAAAATTAACGACTTTCCATGAGAACATTTAAAAAATTCTGAACTGATAATTCAGTTTTCACATTTCAATTAGGATAGTGAATTGTACTTCCTTTTCATATTATATTTTCATTTATAATTCTTCAAAACTATGTCACGAGTTTTTAAAATTTGACTGTTAAGAGATTTTATAAACTGTGACCCTGTTACAACGTAAATTTTATTCTGATCTCTATCAGAGTTGTGACACTTTTTCATATAAACAATTAGATGAGCTACAAATGTATCATTTTTCCACAAAAATATTTTAGTCTTTAGAATTGATTTTCTTTTGTTATCCAAAAAATGCTAATTTTTTAATTGTATCACTTTTCTATCAACGCAGCGATATATAAACAAACAAAAAATGAAATCAACAAACTACTAAATTTACAATTAAAGCATTGCAAATTGATGCGAATATATTACAAAAATTTACAAATGATTCATAAAATCAAAAGTGTAAATGTGCGTGTGATGATATTATTGACTTTAAAAATAACTACAAACAGGGGAAAGAAAAATATTTACAAACAAACACGTTATAAACAAACACGTTATAAACAAACACATAATGATCAAGATTTAGAATAATACAAACACAGCTGCGTAGAGATTTTCAAGTCGTAATTGGTGAAAATGCGGTTTGTTTTGTTGCATAGAAATGGTAGTACGCGGATTTCAAAATTCACCAGTCAAAAACTTTCTCGTCTGTCCGATCATAAATAATTTCGCAATAAATTCGTTTCATTAGTGAAAGAAAAAGCTATATGAGTGTATACGTAGTGTCGAGGCGACGTTCTAACACGTAAAACTCGTTAAACAATCAAAGAGAATAACCATGGTGATTCATGCTGGTGTGACGCAAAAGGGATCTTCCATTCACAACACAGCAGAAAGGTGACTCTTCCTGTGATTTCAAGTTGGCACGTATTTATGGAACTATTTAGAATGAATTCCGATCAAAATTTCATTCAATTATTGTCTAAATTTCTATTAGGATGTGACACACAATTTCGAATACAACGCTGAACGAAATAAGATTTTAATCCAATTTTCGAAGTTTGTAAGAATTTTCAAATTATTTTTTCCTGTTTGATACTGTTAGGTCCAGAGGACTTCCACGATTCTCCCTTTCGTAGAACTGAAGTTCGTTGAACTGAACTTCCAATGACTATTATGAGAATCAAACTAAAATCCACGAGAAAAGACTTTAAATAGTAATAAAATCTCTCCTTTTAAATAAAAAATCTAGTATCTGCTCTTCTATCATCATAACTGTCATTCGAAGAAAAATAAAAGAAAACGACGCACGTGTACTATAAAAATGCCGAAATCTCCTCCTGAAACGCCACGGTTAAAAGGATAATAAATATATCTATTAGAGGGACGCCAAGATATTTTCTAACGGTCAAGTCGCGGACCAATTCCCACGGATGCGGAGTCCACGATCGTAAAATCGAGAAGCGACACTCGAGAGGGAGACATTCGTTTATCCTGCGACTACACTGCACGTATGCATCTCTCAACGTACCCTCTGCGGATAATTTTAAGGAAAGGCATCATAAAATTAAGAATGCATTTGCCTACATAGACGGTCAACACCCTTTCCTTTCCCAAAATATATTCCGAACCAATCCGGGAGTGATGAAAGAGTCCTACCACTAATTAACAAATGTATTTCATCAATCCGAACCCGACCAGTCAACTCTCGAACTTCCAATTTTCCCTAAGAATATCCCTATATAAAGCCTATGGCGATCTTGCGGGACTTTGGGCATTCTTTGGCTGTCTCTCGCTGTCCATCGCCGTCTCTCGCGAGTTCTCGGACTCTCGGGCTCTTGGGCTCTCGGCTGCGATCTTATTTTCGTAATCTTCGAGTCAGTGATCACATACGGAGTCCAGCTCCAACATCTCCGAGCCAAGTCAACCTCTGAGCCAGACACGGACTCCATCGCCGAGAACTACACTCGAGACGCCATCCACATTATTTCCATCATTAGTAAGTCGCACATTCTTCCCCTCTCCCAGTGTTAATTATTAATCAGTACAAACTTACCTTTTCAAAAAAGTAAAAAAAAGTGCTAAGAATACGTACTTCTTGGATTGGACATTTAGATTTTATTCGAGAAGTACGTATTCTTAGCATCTTTTTTACTTTTTTTAAAAAGGTAAGTTTGTACTGATTGTAAACACCTTTCTCATATGCTTGTAGTGCCCACGCTGATTATTCAATTGCCACGAGCATATGGGACCTACGGTTTCAATGCCGGTTCCGAACGACGGATTTTTCGAGAGGTGTTTCTGTGGGCAAGGATACTCTTGGGAGCTTGCCGGTTTTCCGAGAGGAGACACGAGCGTAAATATTTTGATTCCTACTGGGATCGAATCCGGGACCTCTGGTATGATAGACCAGTGCGCTGTCTGCCACGCTCGCGCTCCTAATTCTCTGTCAAAAATTATTACTCCTCGAAAAATACTAATATACCAATTGAAAAATATATTAAAACCCAGATGTGCTGCAGTCTTAACTAATCAAGCTAAATTCTATCAAATTAAAAAGTAAAACCCAAGTGATTACCTTTGTTATTTACTTAACTCTAACGATATGTATCATTCGTATAAAAGATTTGATATCAACAATTAGCGTCAAGTTAAATCTCATACCAAATTAAATAAAGAATACAATACATAATTGCGTTACCTTGTTCAAGTGTTATCACATTTTTTCCAATCCGGAATTCATTTTGAATATTTCATAAAACGTTCTATTTCATGCCGTTCTGTTAACGGTATTTTTTTTTTCTTGATTTCTGAAAAAATCTATTCCTGAGAAATCCTGTGGAAATCTCCACTGTCTCTCGATATAAATAATTAAATACTTCTCTCGGTATAAATAATTAAATACTTCTATTTATAATTCGTTACGTGTGTATTCGTTATCGATTACTATATCGGAAATTAACTACGATGATTGTACGACAAACAGCTTCTTGGAAAAATGTGGACGAAATGAAGTCGTCGGCGATGACGAATCCATCAACGATCGTTCTACAACCAAGCACGATTTGCGATAATCGAGTGCGTAAACACGATGTAATATGCTATATACATGTATGTGATGGCACGTTGAGTTTTGCCATCGTTTATCTCAAGTTTAGGCCTGTTTTCTTTAGCTGAACTTCTTGCATGATTCATCTTTTCTCTTTTCTTTTTATTCGTTTTCTTTCACATTGGACAGTAAAAGAGAAAGGATGAACCGTGCAAGAAATTCAGCTGAAAAGAATAGATCTTTTAATTCTCCCTTGGGAGAGGCGCTGCAGTTTTTTAAACCTGGCCTCCCGGCGTCATTCTCGAGCAGCCTGCGCATCGTACAAGCGACGCATGCGCGCGTCTCTCCCCCCCTCCTCGCCCCGTCGCGCGGGTCTATTCGTACGTAGCCGGTATTAATCAATCACCTGTTTCACCGTGTACGCGATTCTTTCTTTTTACGCGATCAACTACTGCGCACATGAGGATCTCGACCGGCTGTGAAAAAACGAGCGCAATAAAGGAGAACGTGAGTCGAAAACATATTTTGACGTGTTTTTGACATATTTTCTACTCACTAGGAATGATGGGACACAGAGTGTGTATTGCAATGAGTGAATTGTAAAACGATGAGTAATTAATTTCGAACCGTCGCGCGAATGTCTACCTGAACGGAGAGCGATTCCCTCATCGTCGTAATGAGAAATCGGAGTCGTTTGTTAACTTTTACAGGACGGGGAAAAGTCATTATATTGGAACTAAAATAGTGTTAAATTTTGCGGCAAGAAATACGATAATAAATTATACAAATCTTATTTAAGGAAAAACTGTAAGATTTAAAAAATAGACCCCCGTCCTTTAAAGGTTAATTGGAGAAAATAATAGAATAGAAAATAATAATAAGATTGAAAGACCGCTAATGTTAAACGTAATACTTTAAATTAAGAAGCGCCATAACGGTCAGAACGTTAAGATGTTGAACTATTGCAAATTCATTTAAATGAATTAATTTCAGAAATGATAATTGCGTGCCGATATGGTTGTCGGACTTTCAACGCAATCAAATCTGAAAATATTAATAATCCCCCCAAATTTCCCAACTTAAAAACTGTAATAAACTTATTGCGAAAAATAATGCCTCGGCCGGGAGTCGAACCCGGATCTCTTGCATTCCGTGCGAGCGTCCTAAGCCTTAATATTTTCAGATTTGATTGCGTTGAAAGTCCGACAACCATATCGGCACGCAATTATCATTTCTGAAATTAATTCATTTAAATGAATTTACAATAGTTCAACATCTTAACGTTCTGACCGTTATGGCGCTTCTCAATTTAAAGTATTACGTTTAACATTAGCGGTCTTTCAATCTTATTATTGTTTATACACGCGCGCCGAGAAATGCGTAACTCTCTATATATATCAATTATTGCGAAGAATAATGCTAAAGTCTCGGTAATCTAAAAGCTTAGGACGCTCGCACGGAATGCAAGAGATCCGGGTTCGACTCCCGGCCGAGGCATTATTTTTCGCAATAAGTTTATTACAGTTTTTAAGTTGGGAAATTTGGGGGGATTATTAATATTTTCAGATTTGATTGCGTTGAAAGTCCGACAACCATATCGGCACGCAATTATCATTTCTGAAATTAATTCATTTAAATGAATTTACAATAGTTCAACATCTTAACGTTCTGACCGTTATGGCGCTTCTTAATTTAAAGAATAGAAAATATTCCGAAAGCGTATATATTTAACGTAATATAAAAAATGCTTCCTGACAAGAGACACAGAATGCGTATCATACATCGTGTATCATTTCATCCTTGTTGTTCGAATATTAAAAAAGAATAAAATGACACATCGTGCGCATCATGCATACTGAACGCATCTACGGATAACATAGGGTGCGTTCCGAGTTAGGCCCATCACAAATGACATGTAATTTTGTGTGTGACGGCCTTAACGCATGAAGCGCATGATACATCATTTGTCCTTGTTGTTTATCAATTAAAAGAAGGATACATCATGCGCTTCATGCGTAACTCGGAACGCACCCATAATGTAACAATAGATCTGTTTTTTATTCATTGCATTAGACTGCACTAGAATTCTCTTCCTTGCTTTCGCCAAATATCAAATATATATCCATCTTACTTTCTAAAATTGTATAGTTCATCCACAGAAAACAGATCTAATGGCTACGTTTACACCGTGCGCTTAGTCCGTGACTTATACGATAGATGTCTTTGGCTACGTTTACACCGTGCGCTTAGTCCGCGACCTATACGATAGGTGTCTTTGTTTAATATACAGGATAAACAAGGACATCTATTGTTAGGCCACGGCCTAAATGCACAGTGTAAACGTAGTCAGTATTTAACCTACAAGATAAACAAGGACATCTACTGGTTACGTTTACATCGTGCGCTTAGTCCGCGACCTATACACTGTTAAATCTGTAGGGTCAAATTTAACCTAGTGTGAGTTACCACTGCTCCTACTAAATATATCATTATTTTTTACTAATACGATAATTAAATTTGACATTATATCGTGTTAATTTGATACTATATAGTGTCAAATATAACCACTGTTTTAATATAAAATAACGATTTGATTGAGTAGGAGCAGTGGCGACTTATGTTAAGTTAAATTTGACTCTATAGATTTAACAGTGTACGATAGGTGTCTTTGTTTAATATACCGGATAAACAAAGACATCTATTGTATAGGCCGCGGCCTAAATGCACGGTGTAAACGTAGCCATTGAATCATTACATTCTTGCTTGTCGATGTTGAACAAATATGAAATAATCACTGCGTTACATTAGTCGCTAGGCTGGAAGCAAAAATATAGTTCACAAAATTATAATATTTTAAAATTGATCCTACGTGATTTAAAAAAATTACATGATGAACGATAAGGGCGGAAAGGCTTATGCCCGTATTCATAGTCAGACTTTATATTTAAGGAAGTCTTAAGGGCTGGTCACCAAATTATCACATTACAATCGTAAAAAATCTTTGAATTGACTGAACGGAATAAAAAATCCTTTTACAAGATATTAAAGTAGACGCAAAAAAATTTTTAACATTCTTTCGATTTTAGTATAAAATCCACTGCACCACCTTCTAATTTTGCGTCTACTTTAATCTTGTAAAAGGATTTTTTGTTCCGTTCAGTCAATTCGAAGATTTTGATACGACTGTAATATGACGATTTGTGAATACGGGCATTAGTCTTGCACACAACGCATAACGTATAATGCATAAGAAAATAAATCAAAGTCCTTTATTTTCTTCTTTTCCATGAAATAAAAGATTGGTTGAATTTTTATATCTTATGCAAAAATCTACGCTTCTGCCCTAAACCTGGAGCGCCACGTAACGTATCTTCCATTATCGCGGCGCAGTCAGCGTTAACTCCGCCAGCTAAACATCGTCGTCGGAGAAACGTAAACAAAACGTATCTCTCACGCGCGCAAGAGAGATGCGCGTTTACGCGGAAGCCGCGTGCGTCGTTTATAACATCCTCGTCGCCGTGATTTTCCTTCAGTCGCCGAATCGCACGCGCATCACGGCGCAGTTTGACTTTACCGGCGGTTCTTCTTTTTTTTTTCCTCCCCGCATATGTTCCGAGCGCGAGACACGTTTGAAAAAAAAAAAGTTAGCACTGTCGCGCAAGCGCACATGTCCGACGTCAGATTTCGCCGTGTCTCCGTGCGGGCTTCCTACTCCCGCATCGAATATCGTGCTCGTTAACGAGGATACGTTATCGGGCCATCGTTCGCACGCAGATCGCGATAACTGGCGATAACGCTCGACAAAGTATAAGGTCCCTCGCCGGAAACGTCGCATCCGCGTCCCCACGGTAAGACGAGTCCCTCGCCCGATGGGACAGGTCGTACCGACCGTCCCGGAGAAATTAGGAGAGGTTAGGAAGAGCGAGATCGCGTTCAATCCGAAAGCCGTAGCGGGATTTTCTAACGTTTTACCAACGATTGTCGCTGTCGTTAACTAGGGACAACCAATGAGGGCCACGCTTTTTTCCAGAATCTTTGCTGCTATTGGCTGTTGATCGCTGGTTAACAATAGCGACAATCGTCGATAAGGTGTTAGAGAATCTCGCTGCAGGGTCGGCTGAGGCGACGACACACAGTTGGGTTTTACGTTTTCTTTCTGCAAAAGAATTTCCCTCTTGTAAGGTGTTTCAATAAAACAAGTGTAATAATGCAAGGCCTTTTCGATACGAAATCTTGAAATCAAATTTCTCCGCTTGATTAGTGTTGGATGAACCTTGCTCCGAGATGTCTCTCGAGACTTCCTTACAAATTGGAGATAATTGCACGCGGACCGGCATGTATAGAGTAGATATACGGGGTGTCACAAAATTTTTCGTATATTTTGATAGTATGTTCTATGAATTAAAACAATTAAAAAAAAAGTTATATAAACAGAGATCTATTTTATTTAAAAGTTATTAAAAACATATGAAATATGTACCAAAAAAACAATTTCATTTATATTTCAAATTGCCGTCTGCGGCGTCTGCCTATGTCAATATAAACTTGACGTTGGTGGGATTTTGAATTTATCATCTTTTTTTGCAAGGAAATCTTCATAGGAAGAATAGAGGAAATCTACAGGAGGGTTTTCCCTCTATCCTTGTAAAAAAGAAGATAAATTCAAAATTACATCAACGACAAGCTTATATTAACATGAGCAGATAGTAATTTGAAATGCAAACTTAGGTGAATTGTTTTTTTTACATATTTTATACTTTTATTATATTATAACTTTTTAATAAAACATTTAAATTTATTTGAAAGTTTATTTAAATTTATTTAAAAACCTATGTTATATTTTTTTATTATTTCAGCTCTTAGAGTATCCTATCTAGTAAATTTTGTACGAGAAATCCGGGACACCTTGTGTAATGTATTAATATATATAATATATCGTATACATATAAAACGGCGTCCATGTAACAAAAATATTACGCATAAAAAAATATTATAGATGATTAAATACGTAGATAAAATGTTTATAATTTTACTTAACGAAATTATAATTCGGTTTCTATACTCATTGTTATACATGTGTAAAAAAATACATGTGATTCTTTTTATATGTATATGTGTAGCATAAAAAAATATTGCAGATATATACAGATATCTGCGGTATTTTTTTATCTGTGATATAAAAAAATATCCAATGTTTTTTATACTTTTTGTTTATACATAGCAGAGAAGAGTAGAAATCGAATTATAAATTTAGTAAGTAAAATGATAAATATTTCATCAATCGGATGTATTTTTATGCAATTACGTTTTTTTAGGACAATGCAAAGCACACGATTAGAAATATGTAATTTATTTAATCATAAAATCTAAATTAAATCTGAAAAGTATTTAAAAGATAGATTTTATAGATGTTTAAAAGATGGATAATTTAATAATTGATCATTGTAAAATGCCGGAGTAAAAGTTTAAATAATTTTTTTAACAAGCTAACCGGCACGTATTGAAAACTATATCTTGAAGTTGATTCTTCATTGTATAACAAGCTCCAATTGTCGCATCGTCATTGTCACGAATCAGCATAAAGATTACTGTCTACAGTATGAATATATAAACTCGCTGAAACTAAATGGATTGAAAAAGAACTCGTCATCATTTTAGTTCAGTTTCAGTTTCAGGTGTGCATTCTGTGCGTTTTAATCCTTCCCCTTTTGACTAGACATTTGAATTATAATACAAATTTTTGTTCATTAATTTCTTTCCAAAAGTCATATTACATGCATATATGAATATAATCGTACGTAAAATTGATATCTACTAAAAAAAATAATGTTTTTAAGTACTGAAACAGTATTTTAGAAATTTCACAAAAATGATAGATTTGTAGTGTTGCTTCTTACGCCAAAATATTATAAGCTAAACACACACATACACTTTAGCTTACACTATTTTATACTTAAAATACTTATACTTTATACTTATAATTAAAAAAAAATTTTTTTTTTGCTTTAGCTGCTAAAGCAAAATAAAATGTGTGACTAAATTTGGAAAGACGAAAGAGAAGAAAAGAAGCGAAAAAACGAGGAAAAAACGTGTAAAAAACGAATGGGCCACAAGAACGGGGCCCGAAAACTGAATGTGTTCCACGCACAACATGCGTACGAACGAGAGCGCCTCGGTAGGTTTTAACCCTGAGTTCACTCGGATATGATTTAATTTAACCGCGGCTCTCGGCAATCCGACCGTTCAATCTATCTCTGTCCACCGACGAGTGCGCGCGAGTCGTCTCTTCTTCGTCAGTACTCTCGGTCTCCTTGGCCTTTTCCTTGTGGTACGTAAAAACAACATACTCGTACCTCCAAAAACATTCCGCTTTCACGTGCTATTATACGTCGCGCTTAGTCAATGGGAAAAAGAAGTCAATTAACAAGTTATTTACTTACGCTTTCTAACGAAAAATTTAAAGGTAATGAATGAAGGATGAGAAAGAAGATTATTTTCATATGTGGCATTTGGTTTTTTACAATTAGTGCATTTACAAGATACGTGAAAGGTCACTTTGAAATAACTCACACTGTCTTTTATCCAAAGGATGTCCTGAGAACTTAGGAGACGTAGAGAAGTTTTCTGGAAGTCTTTAGGATGTCTCTTGGAGATCTGTGCTGTATGGAAATAATCGATCAAGTTCGATCGTGAAGCCACTTAGAGAGAGAGAGAGAGAGAGAATCGTTGTAGAGCAAGAAAATTTTTGCAATAACATATATCTACGTAAGAAAATATCTCGTAAAATTTTTAAAAACGTAGCTATAACATAGTTTCAACACAAAAATCTAATAGATGTTTAAAAGATGTGCTACTTTTTAGGTCGCTTTGAAACTCTTACATTTAAATTTTTGTATATATATATATATCGATTCTCCGCACATAACTTACCACTTATATATTGACTCGATGTATTCGACGATAGGGTCAGATTACAGATTACCTACTAACTATTCGATTCGACAGTAACGAGGTTCGAGGAGACCTCGGTGCTCTTTAATGAAATAGCCATTCTGTGGAGTGCAATGAAGTGTAATGAATGAGAGAGTTGTGCGTCGTGAGTGAGACATTATTGGAGCAAATGCTTCGAAATTTTTTTTTACGTAACACATGATTTTTATAGATGGATTTCGTTTATCAAAAATGTGGTGATTACAATAACAATTATCGTAATTAGTCGTTTTAATAAATACACCAGACATGTTTCTGTATAAGTACAGGTAAGTAAAGTACATAGAGATAAGTGACAATAATGATTATCAAAAAATTAAATATACATTTATAAGTGTACACCACATACGTATATTCATATGCATATTTCATACTTTGATAACTTCTATTATATTTCTTTGTATTATTATATACTTACTAAAAGTAGATTTATTTCTATATCTGTTGACATATATAAATAACGTAATAGTAATCATTAACTAAACTTACATACATATATATTTTGATGACTGTATATAAATAATTTATTGCGTTATTTATATACTTGGATTTATACACTTCGACATAGTATATAACGATAAATCCGGAGATATTGCGTATGAAATAAAAAGCATCTCAACAGCTTGAACGCAGATATACGTGAGACGTCACGTTTGATGCACGAAGAATGAGATATGCGGTAGAATACTTCGTGCAACCTTGTGGCAGCAGAGTCATTTTTCATGGCCGTTACAGGTTAGAGAAATATAGGCGAAGCGTCGGTCTCCCGTGGTGAAATGCGCCTTGATCCATATCACGTCGATATCACGAAACTGCGAGATTTTTACGTGCACGGAAAACAGATGTTCCGATATATTAACGTAGTTTGCGCGATTATATGATAAAATGATTACACGGTTTTGTCGCAATAAAATGACTGTACGGTTTTGTCGTGATTCATTTTCCTTGTAATGCATAATTAGAATCTTTCTTCAGAAGGATGCACGCTATTTCTCGCAGGATATAATTTTCTTCCGGAACATTCAGTTGTCCAACGAGATAGTTTTATGATAATTGAATGAAATTCTTGGATTCGGCATTAATTTTTCAATTGTATAGTTTGAACGGATTTATCCCACCTTAAATGAATATTTTCTGTACAGTACATTAAGGATTAAGGAATAAAAATATTATTCTATTAAATAGTTTCTTATTATGTGCATTACATTGATAGATATACATATATCTAACATCAGCGATGTTGTGTGATATATGTATATCTATCAATATTTTGCAATGTACAATGAAATCGTTACATCCAGAGAACAATATAATCAATTAATTTGAAATTTTCCAGTAACGTTGAGAAAGTAAATACTGTAAATTCAATAACGCTCTAATTAAATTTACAAATTATTGTAGAATTTGTCAGTAAATAGACAAAACCCGATACGTTTAATCGAAGCAACTTCTCTAGATTCGCAAGATATAAAAATTAGTAATAATATTCTGCGTTTCATTTATGCATATTTTAATTATACATGTTTAATTATATAGTTTTAATTATAACATTAATTATACGTATATATTAATAAAATTCCATTTTATTTCATAAATATTAAAAAAACGCACCTTTTCGCTGCATAATTTCAGTTTATGTGTCAAACAATATAAAAAATTTACATATAGCACTTCATAATTTTACTTGTTAATATTCTAAAATAAACATCCTTGCGCTATTTATGTACAATATAGCTTGCTAGAAGGTAAACATCGCAATTAGCGCTCATACTTTTCGTCAAATATATATTAGGGACATATGCGCAACGGAGTTGACGTAACACAATTTGACATTCGCTGGCGAAGTGCTCGAATTATATATTCGCACAAGTATCGCCTTTATAGAACATCCGCCAATTCGTATAATGATATTACGAAGCGTTCTTATGCAATGGTTAGCACAACTCGCAAAAGACTAGAGAGACTTTGGCGCGCGAAATTTAATAAACTCTACTCTCTCTCGAAACGGCGATACAAGATCATTTCACTTCTCTTGAGTCAATAAAAACAAAATTTCATAAAATTGTATTTTCTTTCCAAAAGAAATTCAGATAGTTTTTATGAAATAATATATGTATTATACATTGATAAAAATTGAAAATATATCAATTATTCTGATCTCTCATTCTAATTATAATTCCACTTAACTTATTTCTATTTGATTAAAGTTGAAATCATTAAAGAGATTTTAATCGTTCGTGATTTATCGATACTTTAGCAAGTTTATTATAGAAAAATCGTTTCTACATAAACTGAATTTTTGCAAAAAATGCACAAATTGTGGATGCAGAATTAAAAAATTTAGGGACTTAGGAGTGCATTTCTATTTAAAAGTAAAAATACAGCTGAAACAAATAATGATTCTTTAAAATTACGAAATAATGTATAATCCTATAATTTTCTCTCGTCAAATGCAAATGTATTGTTTCCTAGAGACAAGACATTTTACGCGGTTAGGTAGATATTGATTTGGCAAGTACATCCTCAGAGAGAACAATGGCACTCTGTGCGTTAAATACAATTGTCCAACGCATGGATGACTCGAGTAACCCTACCGGAAAGAGCCAATACGAAATCATTAAATGCATATAACAATCATCAGAGAAAGAAAGAGAGAGAGAGAGAAAGAGAGAAAGAGTCGTCGACGGGAACGAAGAAAAATATTCCGACACGTTGAATCCATCGATCCAACGAACGCCTCCGTCATCGCGTAAATTCCACTTGGAGGATTCTGGAGGACCCGTCGCCAAAGAAAATCCCCGGTCAAAACGCTACCGCATAAAGAAAGAAAGGCGACGCTCAGCTCGCAAAAAGGCACCCAATGTCTCGCCCGAAGTCTGAATGCAAATGATTTCATCCCCGACACGCGGCGTTTTCTCGCGTGAAGGGAGGATCCGCGGGTGAGACGGTGTCCGAAAACTAAAGAATCGCGGCGCCAAAGGCAAGGGCGATGCCGAGAAATATAGCGATGGCCGGTAAGGGTGAGGAGTCGGGGTTTGTCTGGCAGTTTCGAGGAGGCAAATGTACGTCGACGGTAATGGTGATGGTGCTCGCTCTCGCGGCCAAAGGAATATTGTGGGGGATGGTTCTCCTCATCCCCATGCGCAGCCGGGCGTGCAACGCGTACCGTTCTGGCGAAAAGCTCCGACCGTGCAGTTATCTCTACTGGCCAAAGGCGTCGACGCGTTCCTTTGTAATACATTCGCCAGCGGAAAGAGTTAGTCGAACGTGAATCGTCATCACGATGAATAAAATCGTACTTGCAATTTAGCTCTTGCGGACTTACTCATTTACACTAATTTGCAAACGAGACGTCACATCATGGAACCAGGAAATCCGATGTTTAAATTCCTTAAATTAATAGGATTAATAGTTTCGTGAGAAAATCAAATATAGTATATAGATTTCTTTAAATTTGCATGTAGGAATTGATGTCTTATAATTTATTGACTGTATTCATAGTCGGTTCTTATTTTAAAATTGCCTTTAAGTAATATCTTAAAGATGTTAATATGACTTTTTGATTAACTTATAATTTTTTAAGACTGTACTTAAGATGGTTTTAAATATAAGAATCGATTATGAATACCGGTCATTATTATATTATATTTTAATGTACAATATATGAATTTTATTATATATTATATATACTATATACATTTTAATATATAGTATATATATATTATTATTTATCTTCTTTAATTCTTCAACATTCAAAAGAATTAATTTTTTTTAACATTGCTAAATTATATTTTCTGAATTAACATTTTTGCTGATTGTTTCCAATATGTGAAAAGAACGTTCAATAGTAAAAATATGATATATGGGGGGGGGGAGACAGAATTACTTCAATGTACCGTTATACCTAATTATGACTAATTTTTTTTTTTTATTGTTGGTACAGATTATAATGGCAAAGATGGCAACAGCGTTATCTCTACTTGTGGTCTATTTTATTATTACGACATCAGCCCTGAATAACGAGGAGCTGCTGGAGCAAGAATGCCCTGTGGATTGCCAATGTCACTACTTTCGCGTCAACTGGGTGACGGACTGCTCGGACAGCAATCTGACGACCATTCCATACAACGAGCTGAGTCATAATGTCTATATTTTAGACATGAATGATAATAATATTGCAGACATCAGTCCGTTTCCAGAATCGATCAAATTGAGGCGTCTTCAGATGGCACACAACCGATTAACTGAGCTAACATATGAATCATTTGCTGGATTAACGTACCTTCTGGACGCAGACTTCTCATATAATGCCATTACGCGGGTAGATCCCGAAGCGTTTCGGTAAGATGATTAGATATCAATTATATTCGCCAGTAGTCATTCCATTCTCAGACGTGTGATATAGGTTTTGTCGATCGTACGATTAATTCAACAGAGACAACCCGGGTCTAATTACATTGGAACTCCAACACAATCCCTTGGACGAGGTTGAGGAACCCTTCCTGAATTGCCGTACGCTGCTGTACCTCGATCTGAATTCATGCGGTATCCGGCACCTCAACACGCGCTTCTTCTACAACACGACGAATTTGAATAAGCTCGATCTATCGTACAATCCCCTGCAAAGGATAGAGCCGGGCCCCTTCGATCATCTGACGAATTTAGAATATCTCAAGCTAAACGGATGCAATTTAACCTACATATCGCCTGAAGCATTTTCTCACCTGGAAAATTTGCGACAGTTAGAGATAGCAGACAACGAATTGAAAACATTGAACTGGAGAAGCGTTCTCACACCGTTGGTGCGTTTGGAACATCTAGATATCCGCAAAACCGGTATCACGAATCTACCGGGTGATGCCTTCGCCAAGAACTTATATCTCTTACAACTGGTTCTCGCAGACAACGAACTGTGGCATCTAGATGTCGAAGATACGCTCGGTCACAACTTGCACAGTCTACAATCTCTAGACTTATCGAATTGTAATTTACAAGATCGCCTATCCGAGGAAGCTTTTAGAAACGCAAGCAAGCTACGCGTACTAAATCTGAGCGGTAATCCAATGTTCGCTAGCGATTTAACTGCCGTTCTGCGCCATTTGCCAAAGCTTCATAAGCTCTCTCTCAGCAATTGCAGTCTTCGGAGGTTACCAGATGCTTTTGATGTATTTGAACACCTTGAGGAACTCGACATTTCTTATAATCCATTATCTGACGCATTCGTCAGTCTTCTCAATCCGCTAAGCGCTTTGGAATATTTAGATATGTCTTATTGCGGTCTCGGTTATGTTGCAAATAACACTTTCGCACAAATGACTTTCTTGAAACAGTTAATTCTTTCGGGAAACGAACTTCATACTTTGGAAGAAGGATTGTTCGCAAATTTGACGCGTTTGGAAAGCCTAGAGCTCAACCACTGCGACCTCAAAGCACCCCTCGATCCAAAAGTTTTTGGTGACCGCGAATTAACTGATATAATAGAACTCAAACTCAGTGGCAATCCGTTGATCGTACCCGATGAAGGCTCGCTGCTCCCAACGCAGCTGTCCAAGTTGGAGATTCTAGACCTCAGCAACTGTGGCTTCTCACACTTGAACGAAGACATATTTGCTACAACGAATAATCTCACTCAATTGAATCTTTCGGGCAACACAATATCTGGTGTAGAAAATTTAAGCTCTTTGAAAACATTGCCCAGGTTAGAACATATAGACCTTAGCAACAACAACCTGCGTACGATCAATCCGAAGATATTCAAGGCAAATCCACGTTTACTATCGATCAATCTCATGGGAAATCCGTTTATCTGCAATTGCTCTATCACAGAGACCTGGGATTGGGCTGTGCAGGAAAAGGGTGATCTTCATGTGCTCGTTGGCAGTCAACCGGCCAATTTTGAAACCGGCTCAGTAAAACGAAGGAAGAATCTCTCTTGCGCTTACGACGAAGAAACGTATCGAAATATGATAGACGGCAGTCAGTCAACAGCGAATCGCAAACACTATCCCAGCCAATTTACTCCTTCTCGTACTTGGGCTAAATACGTTCGTGAATCTAATTGTAATCGGCGTTTATGATATGCGGCGATTAACTATCAACATCCGATGTTGAACGTCTACTATCATAAGGTACGTAGATATAAACAGGAACTTTGAGCAAGTTCCGCACTATCATTGCAACGTCGTCATATCGTGCAAGCCATAAACTACAATATAACAATGTTGTAAAATTTATATTTCTGTGGCATTATTTTTGTAGTCATAGGATTAAGGCAGACCTGCAATAGTTTACAGTTTATATATTTGAAAGTATCGTCAAGTATATCCGTATTGAAAGTATTGAAATGTTACTAAGTCAAAAAAATACTCGATTTTGTGTATATATATATATATATATTGTCCTTTTTTTGTACATAGTATAATAATAATTCTTGTTCTCTCTCACTCTCGTCGATCAGATTTTGTCTTCATGTATCCAATTCGACAAATACTTATTTAAAAGTCAAATTAGAATAGATCAGTTGCCAATGATCGACGTTAAATAGAGAAAGTTAAAAAGAGATTTAAAAAAATTAGTGAGAACTAAATAATTTTATGTATATCTACATAAAGATTGTAGTTATTCTAAAACAAACTCAACAAATATATATATTATC